AGTGCTATTCAAACTGAGTGAATTATGTTTAGAGGAAAGCCTTTTTCCCTCTTATAAACCTGAAATTACAGAATTATATAAAAACTCAAATGAATCTTAGAAATCCTAGTGTATTTTACTATACATAACAGAACAGTATATAACTATAAAATAGTCTTATAATACCAGGGTTCTTCTTGTTTTTAGAAAATACCTTCTACACAAGGGTAAGTGGCAAGCAGACACACCCAGTGGAGTAAAAAATATATAAAATTTATTTTCATGGTTCCCCTTCCCTAATGCCTCACAGATTTCCTTACCTCTCCACCCACTCAAATCCCCATCCTTCTTTCTCATTATAAACCAGACATCTAAAATAATAATAATCAGATAAAATCCTACAAACCTGAATAGGACAAGACAAAACAAACAGAAACAAAGGACCAAAAAAAAAAAAAAAGCAGAAGAAACAGGGACACACGTTGGCAAACACAAAAATCCCATAAAAACAAAATCAGAAACCATATATAAGCAAAAGTCCTGTAAGATGGGGGTAGGTGGGGAATTACCCAGACAAGGCAGTCTGAGACAAACATCCCTCCAAAAATACTGCTGAGTTCATTTTGTCTTGGCCATTTACTGCTGTGCATGGGGCCTGGTCTAATAGTGTTTTGTACACCCAGTGAGACTCCATTGGAGAGCTAATTTTTCATTTGTGAGGGTTTATCAACTGGAGATAGAAGATATCATCCAGGTTAGGGATGGGGGTTTGTGTCCACTTCTGTTCTCAACACTGGGAACCCATGAGGCCCAGACCTGGACAGTCCCTATGCATGCTGCCAGCCTCTGCGAGTTCAGGTGTGCACTCATCCTGCTGTGTTCAGAAGGCCTTGTTTTGTCACCACCCTGGCACTTACACTTTTCTGCCTACCCTTCTACAAGGTTCTCTGAGCACTGAGGGGAGAGTGTGATGGAGACATCCCATTTAGGGCCAAGTGTTCCAAGGCATCTCACTCTCTGCACAGTGACCTGTTCTCTTGTCCCACCAAATCCCACCACTGCAGCCCCAAATGAGCACACAAAGACTTACTAATTATATAGCTGTTGGCCAATAGCTAGGGCTTCTTATTGGCTAGCCCTGTCTTAATTATTAACCCATTTCTGTTAATCTATGTATTTACACATGGTCTTGGCTTACCAGAGAATACCCGGACCAGTTACTCTTTTGGCGGCTACATGTTGTCTGTTTCTGACGGACTCTCTGCCTACCTTTCCCAGAATTCTCCTCGTCTCCTAGGCCTACCTGTCTTCCTGCCTCATTGGCCAGTGTTTTACTCATCAACCAATAAGAGAAACATGTATACAGACAGACATGTCCCATCAGTGTTCATCTGTGATTCTCTGTATTTGTTCCCATCTGGTGCAGGAGGAAGCTCCTCTGATGATGGCTGAGCAAGGCACTGGTCTGTGAGAATAGCAGAATGTCATTAGGAGGCATTTTGTTTCTACATTATTTTAATAGAACAGTAGTATTTGGTTTTCCCATATGTCCCTGATCTATCTAGTCTCAGGTTCTTGGCCACCCAAGTAGTGTCAGGGATGGGTTCCATCTCATCTGGAGTGGGCCTTAAATCCAACCAGATGTTGGGTGGTTACTCCCACAAGCTTTGTACCACTATTGCACTAGGACATCATGCATGCAGGTCAACCAATGTAGATCAGATGTTTTTTAACTAGGTTAGTGTTTACCTTTCTCCTTTGGTGGCATACAGAGTACCTTCCAGTACCCTGAACAATAGTCAGTAAGGGTGAAGGTTCTAGATGGATGCCAGCTCAACTTCTCCATGTTCAGTGAGTTTTGTAGGTGTCTTCAGCATTAGGGCCTTACCATGAGTTTTTGGAAGCAACCAGTAGCCTTGGCAATAAGCTGGGTTGTTTGGGGGATCCCCAGGAATCCCTTTGACCACCAACTGAATTAGATATAACCTAATCCTAGAGTGTTTTATTTGGCAACAAAAGATGTCCAGTTGTGACTCTGTCTTCCCCAACTTTGGAAATTTCATTTAGATCACCTTCATATATGTACATATCTTAGGAAGCTTCTACTGTATTGTTTCCATACAACCCCTCATAAGGCCCTTATTTTAGCTGTCCTCCCTGAATTCCTTCTTGTTCCCCTCTTCTCCCTTTCCATTTGATACTCCCACACCAGTACCCCCACATCTTTCCAAAGGTAATCCAGTCCTTCCCACAGTCCCTTACTCTATGGTTATATGGATTATAGCCTGCTTATCCAAGAATTAACAGCTAACATCCACATAGAAGCTAATATATACCATATTGGTCTTTAGGCTCTGAGTTACCTCACTCAGGATGATTTTTCCCTAGCTACATCCATTCACCTAGAATTTTATTATTTCACTTTTTGTTACTTTTTTCAAAATAGGTGTAGCCCTGGATGCCCTGGAACTTGCTCTGTAGACCAGAGGGACTAGACTCAGAGAAATCTACCTGCCTCTGCTTCCCAAGTTCTGAGATTAAAGGCATATGCCACACACCCAACTGATTTCACTTTTTTAATGACCAAGTAATATTCCATTATGTAACTATACCTCATTTTCTTTATCCATTTGTTGACTGACATATAGGCTGTTTCTAATTTCTGGATGTTATGAATAAAGTAGTAATGAATGGACATAATTGAGCAAGCATCTCTATAGTAGGAGATAAAAGTCCAGATAATTTATACAATATGTGGGAAGACACAGAGCTGTGCATGTGATGAAGATTCAATCAAGGTTTCAACATAAATGCTATGGGGGACAGTGTGTGTATGCACATGTGCATATGTGTACATGAGTGGAGGCTAGAGGAGGACGTCAGGTGGCCTGCTCTATTACTCTTTGTATTACTTCTTTGCGATAGCATTTCTCACTGATCCTGAGGCAGGTAGCAAGCAAGCCCCAGTGAGCCTTCTATCTTCACTGCATATTGGACAACGTAAAAATAGTCTTTTTAAGAGATGTGCAAGTCACCATTCTAAGAAATGTAAGAAACACATGATAAGAAGATAAAAGGTTTCTAGTGTGTCTAAGAAAAAATCTTCTGGCCTTCTGACAGCAAAAAAGGAGCTATATTTGTGCCATCCACTCTCTTGAGAACATAACACATCTCAAATACTTTTGAAACAAAATCCACCATCAAAACATTTTTTCCTTCTCTCCATTCTTCTTGCTAATATCTACAATGCAGGCATTCATCAGTCTTAGTTACGATCCCTTCACTTAGTCTTGTTATCTTAGCCCTACCACTGAACTACAGCCTCATCTCTGCTAGTTGGGGAACGGTTATTCAAGCCTGGTTTTGCTATATCATAGTTTAGGTACTAGACTCAAACTCTTTTTATATAGATGAAATCTGATCCAATTCTTAATTTTTTATTATTTGTAGTTACATATATTTATGCCAAGTTTATGTATGTGGTTATGTGCAAGCACCTCAGAGGCCTGAGATGCCAGACGTCCCTGGAGGTGGAGATGCAGGTAGTTGAGGGTTACCTAATGTGGTGCTAGGAATCAAACTCATATACTCTGGAAGAGCAGTGTTTGGCTTCAAACCACTGAGCCATCTCTCCAGCCTCAAACTTGATCTAAATCTAAGATAAATGTCACTACCAAAATTGTGTTATAGTCTTCTAACCTCAAAAAATCATAAAAAGTGCCTGCCTGATGTCATTGGAGTAAATTTTCTCATAATACTGATTTTTTAATAAACTTTCTATAGCTTATTATTACATTATAACAGTCTTTCCAAGATAAAAGACTATTTTGTAATGTCACAAAATATCTTAAAATGTTTTAATAAGCTGTAATTGCACGTTAAATCATATTTAACCCTGGAAGCACCCAGACCTGTTATTACACTCTAAAAAGGACTCACTGTTTACATGACTTTTTCCTGACAGTTACTTGCTCTAGAACTGCCGTGGTATTTCTTTATTGGTAGATATGTTCAGAGTTCTAGTAGGTCAGTAGTGTGCTTCATATAACTTGAAACTACATAGTAAAATCTCCCTTTGGAAACATTTTGCTTTTTAATCTTAGAAGTTTTATTCAGACCCCTTAATTGTACTAAAGATACTAGTTAAATTTTCAAAACTACTCAAATATTTTGTAGTCAAATGCAGTTGATTTTCCTACATACTACTTCAAAAGTTTTATTCAATATGGCAAAGACACTACCTCATCGATGACTTTATTCTTTAATCCCAATATTGAACTCCAATCATTTAAAGCAGACAAAACAATTGATGAGATTTCAGGCAACAGGATTTGCCTCCCCGATGCCCTAAAGTAAGAATTTAGTCATTATAGATGCCTTAATAAAATGTCTTATTTTTGGTGTCTTAAGCAGGGGAGTATCTAGCAATCTTTATATTTTGCAGTAGATCAAATAAAAGTCATTTGCTGGAACAAAACTTATTCACTAAATGATTTGCTTAACAGTAAGAATAAAATGTATCTATTAACATTTACTATATTAATCTGTTGATTTTTCTCTTGATAGTGTTTTCTTATGCTGATTCTAATCTTATATTTAAGCACATAATTTTTGAAAAATAAATATATGAGTAAATAAATAAGATTAACAAAGTTTAGAGATGACCCAAAGAAAGTATAACATAATTTAGAAATCTCATTGAATATGGCAATTCTCTTCATATGGAATTTCTTTATACATAGAATGCCCCCTTTGACTGGATTAGAAAGTTAGCCTACTCTTCATATGAGGCATTTCCTGAAGAACACTTTCCTCAGAACCAGACCCAGGGCTGGGGATGTATGTAGCTCAGTGGTAGACCAGGCTTGACCAGCACACACAGGCTTGAGATAGATCCCCAGTGAGTCTAAAAACAAATCCAGATCCAGTTCATCTTTTTTAAATCTTTCCCTTAAGTAGCTATAAAAATGAGACCATTGAAAGTGCATTAAAACCCTAACTGTCTTTAAATCTCTCAATAGGAGCCAAGGTTACACTCTGTGAGAAGAAGCTTTTCTCATCCTTCATCTGTGGCTTTGAAACCTCGATACTCTCGAAGCCCACACTTTCATCCTAGAAAAGATTTCAGAGCAGACGACTCAGTTTCCACTCCACCTTCCTGTACTGACTTTGTTAAGTAGACTCTTGGGTAACTGCTTTGTCCAGAAGTAGAAAATAACTAGGCCTGTATGTGATCTAGTAACAAGTGAGGTTTGGGGGTATGCTTAAGGTTACATGTTTTTGCTTTTTTTGTTTTTGTCTATTTGTTTGTTTGTGTTTTTTGTTTTTGTTTTTAAGAATTTTTAAAATCTTAGTAGCCAGAATATGGGAGATGCAGTTAAATAATTGTTCCTTTTATTAACTCGGACACCTAAGTAATACAGAGTTAGAAGCCATAACAAACAAGAGTTCTCTCTTCTGTAAGACACGGTCTTTCAGCTCATCATCTGGCTGGCTGTCTTACCAGCATGAACATTATACATAACCTTTGATAGTTGGATTTTCAGTCTCATTCCAGAAGTTTCAGATTTGTAGACAAGTCCATGGCATATATAAAAATGCTTACCAACAGACCATTTTTTGTTATATGGTATAACTTTTAAAAGCTCCATCTTGTTAGATGATAAATTCTAGTTTTCACATTATTCTGGTTTCACTGCATTTGTGCTTGTGTGTATTTTAGCTATATTAAGTAGTTATGATAAAAACCATTTAAACTCTACTTACATGACAAATTTTACACATATTGATATAAAAGTAATTTGTGTATTATAAAATATCCATAATCTGTCATATTATGACCACTTATTGTATAGTGGTTATTAAGACCAAAATGACACTATCCTTAAATGTTCTTAAAGATTATCTATTTCTGGTCCTCTTCTGTCATTCATACATGAAGTAGAATTGTTCATAGAGCATAGCACCTTAGGGAATGTAAGTATTCATAATTACATCATGTAATTACATCAGATTTGATACTGTCAGTATTTTTATCTTTCATTCATGCAGTTCTTCGTGAGGCTTACAGACTTTTAAAACATTAGAATTTACCCATAACACAGTTTTAATTTAAATACAAAGAAGCTATGATTGCCTACTGTTATGGAATGAGAGAAGTTTCTAAAATTAAAAAGTATGCCATAATAATTAAAATTTTAAAATCAAAAAATTACTATCTTTTAAGTCAGTGCTTTCTATTTACCAAATGTAACTTCTATTTTTAAAAAAGTATTCCTTTGATAGAAACTTGGATTAGTAAAACAATAAGGTTATATAAATCATCAGTATTTCAATTGACTAATAGAAATTTACTTTAGAACTTAATGAAAATTGATAGCACAGTACTTCTAGGAAATGCTAGAATTTCAGTATTGTAAATTTACATCTACTCCAAGAATTAATACTATCTTGTACTTCTGCTGGAAAAGAGTAAGAATTACAAATAAAAAAGCTCTTATAATATCAGAAAAGCAATACCCAGTAATAACTTGAATAACTTTTATTCTCTCATGAAGAATGATGAATATACTCATGGGTGTACATATATATATTTGGGGTATGTAGTCTTAGTATTTCTGTGCTAAAACACGTCTATGAATAAAATGTAATAGTACTGTTTAGTAGCTAGTACCTTCATACATCCTAAGGCTTGCCATCTATATAAGAATATTTTCTTTTGCTAGTGTTACTTTGAAAGTAATATGCTATATGTATTGTTACCAGAGCCCTAGCCAAAATATCATGAAACAATATATTTGATACTCAGCTTACCTGTTTTCGGTATATATTTGAATCTCATATTTATTATTCAGGCTTATTCAGTGAATAACAGACAGTTTTCTAAAACCTTTATAAATTCCAAGAGTCTGGGAGTAATTGTATTTTGCATTAAAAAAAAACTGAAAGTGAAATGTTTTCGTTAACCAGTTTAGTTCAGGCAATTATGCTTTCTCCTAAAATATACTGTACTTTCACATTATTTTCACTCAGTTCTATAGACTATAAACTATAAAATGGAGATAATGTGACAATATATTAATGTAACCCCTCAAAAGATACTACTCTGCATAAGTTGTTATACCTTGCTCTTATTTTGCAAATGTGACAAAAGTAGTTTTAGCAACTATACACATCACTGTTTTAAGTTTTCCATTTTCAAGGTCTTTTTATACGACAACCTAGGACAGCCTCACCATTCCTTCCAGAAAGTGCTGAAACAACCACTAGCAGTATCTAAAGCAAATGTCTAGTCGGCATAAAAAGTACTGCCGGCGTACATCCTCTTCCTTTGGCATTTTGGGGATAGTAGAATAACTTTATCCACTAACAATTTGAGATTAGATTTAATACAGTGTGTTCCTTGCTAATCATATTAGGATCTTTGTTTTCAGCACCAAAACAAACAAAACTACACAATATACTCCCATAACAGTTTTAACAACATACAAAAGTATGCAGATAGATTTTTAAAATACATGCATGCTTAGTAAAGTTAGTAGTGGCACTTTTCTGCTCAGACTATTTCAAACTGTAAAAACTGCTGTTAGTTAAATTAATGACATTTACTACCCTGATGTTAAAGAGAAAAATGAAAATAAAATCAGCAAAAATCTTATGTTCACAGGTGTTTAAGCCCATGTCCTGGCCATATATATAATCTTTACAGAATTTGTTTTAAACTGTTGAGCTCAGACATACATACCTTTACATACTGAATATTTAAACATCTGCCTCAATAAACTTACCAATGATGGTTTTCAATAAGCTGGTTTAACGTGACTAGCCCCTTCTTATTCCCTGGTTTTAAGTAGCAAGTTTTCAACATTACTCCTGTCTGTCCATCTGAAATCATAGTAGTTTCCTAATATATTTACACTGAGCCACAGAGCATACATTTACATGGTCTGTTTATGTCAAAGCTAACAGCTCTTTTATATTACCTCCATGAATTACAGAAAAAGTGTGTTCTCTTAGGCTGGATGTCTAATTTATAACATCAGTTATGTTACAGATTAGTTCAGTTATGTGAACAATAGTTTAACTGAAATAATTCCCTTAAGCACTAACTAGATTTTATATTTTATACTAGGTTAAAAACAATGTCGCAATGAATGTTTAAAATGTTTCCTTTGCATCCAAATAAAGGGGCATGAAAACCAATATCCATCTTCCAAGCAACTAACCATACACATCCAATAACTAACCTTGTCAGTACTTGTAAATTTCTTCTGTAACATCAGAGTAGGCTTTTTATTTTAATTAGATTCCAATAATGTATTAAAAAATAAGCACTGGCTGGAGATATAGCCAGTGGTAGAATGCTTGCCTAAATATGTATAAGATGAAAGCTCAATCTCCAGCATTTAAAATTTATAAAGGTCATCCACAATGAAACTAGAACAGAACTTAATACTAAAAGTTTACTTTTATAAAAAAAAAATATATAAGGAATTTCTATAAATGAGCTTTGTAGGAATTTAAGACTAAACTGTCACCTCAGTAATTGCAGTTTTCCAAGTGTGAAGAACTTGAACTTCATGAAAGTCTTCACAAATTAGTGACTGCCCTTTTAAGGCATTCTGTCAACAGTCAGTCATCACCTACTGAACATTCTTTACGAAACTGAAAAGCAGTATGCCTTGCTAACAAAGGTCTGTCTGCATGTAAACAGGATCCTAAAGAAGTTACTGTAAACCCAAAATTAAAATATAGGTTTCTTGGCCTTCCTCGGTGACAAGAATTTTAAAACATTTTATTTCTTAAAATATATTTTACATGAGAGCTGAGACCTATATAAAGATGGTTCTTCACCTCACTTCTTTGAAATGAAACTCACATCTACAAAATAGTTACCTTCCTTTTAAAATGTAAAATTGGACACTCTGTATCTATTTGCAGTTCACAATAAAGTCTCTAGTTTAAAGAGATGAAAAGATCTTGACTATGCTATGAAATAAAATTTATCAAGAATTATCCAGTATGTGGCATTTAGATGGGTAATGACCATAGCCAAAAGGACCTGGTTTCTGCAATCCTTTAGGGAAGTTGTCATAAGAATAGATGTCATAGAATTTAAATTGTTAGTGAGTAGATAAGTTTTATTAAATTGTTCATTTGTATTAAACTGTATGTATGAAATAAAAAAGTTCCAATGTTTGTGGACTCTAGTATAAATTCTCTACCATTGTTACTATAATAGTAAATTCAAATTTAAATATTGATGTTTGTCTAAAGATAAATGTATTAAGTATTAATTAGGAAAATGTCATTTTAAAATACTTAGCCTTATGACTTTATGACAACATATTTTATTTTCAGCATAGCTTCTTAAACTTCCTCCATCTATGATCCCCCTTTTTAACCCAAGAATCTTTTTATATGACTCTTGTGTATATATAGAAGAGTGTATACAATCCAAACATCTAATAATAATAAATCATAAATTTTACAACAGTCCTTTGGTATATATATTTATATATTTATGAAAGCCTAAAGGAAAGGTATATACTAAGATGAATACACTTACTTATCTTTACATAAGTAGAGTCAACAAGATGTTTCCATGTAACCCTAGCAACCTGAGTTCAATCCCCAGAAACCCTGTAGAGGTGGAAGAACAGCTTCACAGAATTTTCATGTAACATCTGCACACATGCTATCACATATGTGCCAGGACACACATCATACAAACACATACCAAGAGTGAAAATGTTTTACATATTTAGGGATTTAAAATGACTGAATAACTGAGCTGTTACTGTAAGACATAAAACATCTTCAGCTTCACAGTATAAAATCAATAATAAAAGCCCAACCACCAATGCTGAGAATGGGGTATCATAGAAATATGCAATAGAAAATGGCAGGCAAATGTTTAGGATTAGTGCAGAAGCTGTTGAAAAATCTGACCTAATCCCTAACCGAAATTCCTTTAACTTTTTTTTCCACCCCAAGACAGGATTTCTCTGTATAGCCCTGGCTGTGGTAAAACTTGCTTAGTATACCAGGCTGGCCTCGAACTCACAAAGTACTCTGCCTCCCTGAGTACTGGCTGGGATTAAAGGCATGTGCCATCACAGCCAGCTTAATTTTTTTTTTTAATCAAACTCAAGCAGCAATTTTTATTTTTATTTTAATATTTTGTCTTACTTTTCTGTTGCTGTGATAAGACACCACCTTATGGTTCCAGAAGATTAGATGATGGAGTTAGGCATGGAGCAGCAGTTGAAAGTTCACACCTTGATCAACATCAAGTAGGAGGCAGGAAGCACACAAGGAATGGCAGGAGTTTTTGAAATCTCACACCCCCAATGACACTCCTACCAACAAGGCCACACCTCCTAAACCTTCCCAAAGGATTCCACCACCTGAAGCTGAAACATGAGCCTGTGAGCACCAATGATTCTCAT